ATAGGTGATGCTTTTTATAGTTCTAGCTTAAGGTAGCACCGTCAATTAAGGATGGTGTTGGCAGATTTCACTCAAACCATCTCGGCCCCACCACTCAAAAACCTCAACCCATTCCTGGCACACAAAATTTGATAGTAATGGTTCCTCCCCTCACCTGCACCACAACCTATTCCGCCTATGGTAGTAATACACGTGTCATTGACACATGCATTAATCATATATGTAAAAAAGTAGGAGAAATTACTTGTATGAAATTGCAGGGGCTGGGATTTTACATGGGGCAAGGTGATTAAAGATAAGGCAGGACAAGCTTCAACACAGGGTTAAGTGATTCATCCCTGCTCTGGTCCTCATCGATTTTTTAATATTATATGTCAATTACACCTGATTCTCCAGATAAAATTGGTCAAATATGGCTCAACCGAGCTGGTGTACCATGGGTCCAATTTAAAATTGTCATCTGTCATCGGCACGTAAAAAACCATACAAGAAAATATCAACAGTCTTACTCAAGACTCAAGAGAACATATCATTTTTCTTGCTCTACAGATCACATTAAAAACAATCTCAGTATGTATCGTTGTGTAGATAGCGAAGATCAGATCACAAGTTTATATATTATAAATCTAATTATGAGCAACAAAAACATGAAGCAAACATCATTTATCCATTTTTATGTGAATTACATGATGAAAACTTTACTGCACATAAAAATTTAAAATTTAAAGAAAGAACTGCCACAAACATCACAGAAATTATTATAATTACCTTCAAACCTAACGTACAAAAAATAGTAGCCAAAAAGGATGGAATTGTCTCAACTAAAATATGTTTTTTTTCCTTGTTGCGTATTTAATCAAGATTGATAACATAAGGTATTATGATAAGCAACCAATCTAGGGCCATCAGATTAGATAGACAATTAGAGTTACTTGCATTAATCTTAAAACCAGTGCAAGTTTACTTATTCTCCTTCCTCATTCTTCTGATTTCAATCTCAAAACATGGTTTTATAACTACCTTGCTTCTACTACTACCATTGAACAATAAATATTTTACTTTTATTTATTAAAAGACATTTAAATCCATTGATTTCTGCAACAAAGCAAGTGAATATGATGGCTGCATTCTTAATTTGAACTTGTGAGGATAATGAAATTTCGTTCTAACATAACATGACTACATAACATGAATATCAATCTATATATCTTGCAACCAATAACAATATCTTTAACACAAATACAACAAACTGAAGTTTCATTCCAGAACCTGAACTTCTCGAAGCAGAATGCCATCAGTCATGAATTTGATGGAACAGCTTTTCCCAATCAACTTGTCATGCCTAACTTGAAAACCAACCTCCTTTCCAAGACCAAGTCCTAGTTCAAATGACACTCTCTTGGCAGTGGCAAGAACTGCAACACGCCGTGGTTGGGTCACTCCAATTATTCCTTTTCTATCACTACGAAGACTTGAACCAAAGCCAGCTTCATACAAGAACTGCAGCATGTCATTCCACCAAGAAATAATGTATATTCAGCAACATAGGAAGTATTAAACTACTAATATCACAAAATAAGGTTAATGACTGTGTGAGATGGTGTATGTATAGTGAAAGTGTACCTGAGGAACCTGTGTAGTCTTACCACATCCTGTTTCTCCACATAAAATTACAATAAAATGCTCATTAATAGCTTCCATTATCTCCTGCTCCATCATGATTATTGGGAGATCTTTTCTGTGTTCTTCAACCTCACGTGGCCGTGATATATGGACCACAGTGGTAGCATTAACATGCTCCTGAACAGTCAAATCAGTAATGCCTTCTATTTCTTGGTATTTCTTATCTGAATAACCTAGCATATTATCCTGCAAGGAGGTTAAGAAGCTACTCATTAGTCAGAACTGGAAGGACATCATCTCTGGATCCTGATTCTACAATTTTCAAGTTAGTCCACACATCCACATATGAAAGAATACAACAGGGACCACAGTGGCCCTGCTCTTGATAGGAATGCTCATGACATCAACATTTCCTAGTAAACACAATGCTATCAGGAAATAAGGGATGTAATTGCTGTATTGTAAGAAATATAAGCTAGTAATGATGCAGAATATTGGTCTATCGGAAAAAAGGAGTCATTAGTGATAGGTCCTGGTCCAACAAGTTACACCCATCTGAAGTACTAAAAATTTATAGTCCACCTGAAAATCCATTTCGGTTAGATGCAAATAAAAATAATTTTATTTTTGTAAGATAGAAGAAAACAAAGATGCAAATAAAAAAAGACATGGAAATTACTATTACCACATTTATAAAGAAAAGATGTAAATAGATGTAAACAGACAAAAGAGACAGAAGAAAAATCATTCTCCACCAGAACAAAGAGGTATAGGCTAGTTATCAAGGAGATGTTAAGAACATGATGCCACTGATAAGAAGTCTGGTAAAGGATGTGGCACATAGAAGCATAGAGAAATGACTTGTATGCCAATGCCCACCTGTGCAAGAATGTCATAACCATCATAGCTAGCGGTGGTTGATGAACACTTCTGATCCGCTATCGCTGAAGCACTCATGTTAGTTTCCCTAACTTTTGGAGAGGGCAATGGAACATCAATAGACAAGTTATGATTGTTGTCATCTATTTTCATACATTTTTCTGGGAGGGTGATGTCAACACCAACATCATTTCGGAGGCTTTGAATAGGATCAACTTCCAAGGCGGCTTCATCATCATTAAAGACATTTGGATGGTGTTTTTCCTTAAATGGCAATATATCTTCAGGCACCTCCAGACCTGCTTTGGAAATTTGTACAGCACGAAATCGTCTTTCCTTGAAAGTCTCAGCCTACATCAGGAAGTCATTACTCAATAGAATGAGAAAGATAAATCCAAGCACAATGTAACAAATGATACTAGCTTGATTCCACATACTCGACCTATAGTTCCTGAAGAATGCAAAAGAGAATATGCACCATCCCAAATCTTGTGCTCCCTGCACCAAGTCATCATGTAAATAGGTAACTCAACATTGTCAATAAATGATACCAGAGATTAAAAAAATGTTAACACATAATCAAACTAGAAAAATAAAAGGCAACATACTCCAAAATTTTAATGCTTTTTTCTTGCAACAACTTCTTTTGCCTCTCCTCCTGCAAAAACCACATGTTAATATATAAGCATAACCAGTAAATGAAGATAACTAAACAATGGGGAGAATTTTTCTCAATTCACCTCCAATTGTCTCAGTTTCCTTTGCTTGGATTTGCTCAGAGTTTGAATTTCCTTCTTCTTGGCCTTCTTAAAATCCAAAACAAGGACAAAAAAGACTTTTATGCCACCCAAGAACAACAATTGGTAAAATTAAAAAATGTATAGCTGACTAAACGAGATTCATTGACTTGTTCATTACATTGCTCTTTACTTTCAATTTGTTCTTTTTCTTCCCCGGTAAAATAATCGCATTGCTTCCACCGCCATCACAACTCCTGAACAGGACAAGAACCAAAAATTGTATCAATTATACGTTAAACGTCATCAACTCAACATTTACGAAACATAAGAATTAGAAAGAACAGCACATACTTCCAGCTTTCCTCGATTCCTGCCGGCATAAGCAATTCAACTTCGTCCAAAGACTGGTCAGCATTATTTGCAACATTCGACCTCATTCTCAACCAATTTATTCAAATTCAAGAAATTCACTTGCCAAAGAAGACGAACTGCGGGAAAAAAATCAAGTGTCAAAGAACAAAATTACTAAATCATAGAAATGTTGCCCAATTTTGATGCCTGGCCTGAATTAGGCGCCGGCGTACCAAAGCACTGGACAATACCAATCGGAAACAAAAGAAAGGAATAAAGAAAAGACGAAATCCCAAATCAAGAAAAGAAAACAAGAGAGGAGAGGGGAGGGGGACGAGACACTTGTTCGTATTCTGTCCTTCCAGATCGTGAAGAGGAGGGCAATTCGCGGGGAGTGGGTAGGGCGGCTCCAATTCGCGGCCACGAGGAGAGGGCGAAGAGCTCGGAAGGAGGAAAAGAGTGAGGAGCATGTAGGGCGGCGAAGCGGTGGCAGTTCCAGGTCGCGGTGGAGGGAGGAGAGAAGAAGGAAGAAAATAAGAGAGCAGGAGAAGATATCGACCCAGTTCTCGCAGAATCAGCGGTCAAGCGGCGATTGATCTCGAAGAGAGAGAGCCGCCGGGTAATCGGACGAAGTAGGGCACGAGAGTGAAGGCAAGGAGTCGAGTCGCATGCACGCGAGTGGAGACTCCTGGGCGCGTCGATTTAGGGTTTTGGAACGAGAGAATTATCGTCCGCCACGCCAATTCGTGATTTCGTTCATATTCGAGTCGGCTTTTCTCCCGGCCTTTTTAATTCCCAATGAAAGGTGAGACTCTATTATCGGTATTATAATAATATTATTATTATCAGCAGGGTAAGGTGATTTATTCTTTTTTTAGTTTTTTTTCCATATATCCTAATTTTTATTTTTATTTTTAAATTTTTTAATACCTTAAATACTTTTCATCATCATCACATTCTCTTTCGGATTAGCATTGTCGATCGTCATTTTTGTCCCATCGTTCTTACCTTTTACCTATCGTGAACGTGGCATCATCAATCACAAACTTTATATATATATTCTAGGTTGTTGGATCATGTCACACTCGAGGATTGAATACAAAATAATTCACTATTCATTCCTCATCTATATTTTCCACACTGTCACTCACTTACCAGAATACATATTAATATACTAATGAATGCCTCAGCAACGAAGCATTTTCCAATCGACAAACTGGTAGCTGAAATGTGAAACCTCGCATGCTCTCCGTCCGACATTTCATATAGAAGATTACTACTTCCCTCCATAAAGAACGACTGCAGTCAACGAATCAACGCAGCAACGCTGTACATCGTTGACATGCAACAACTCCCAAGCACGACCCACCTACCATGCCGGTTCGCACTATAAGTACTGACGCAAAGATCATCGTCTTCCACACCACTCCTCACCACAAGAAGCTTCATTAGCCCAGCCTTTTCGATCCTCCAATCCCCATGGCTTCTGGTTCTTGGACGCTCGAGATCGAGTCCTCCGTCGAGGCATCTCGCCTGTTCAAGGCCGCCGTCCTCGACTGGCACTCCTTGGCCCCCAAGATTGCGCCGGAGATCGTCGTAAGCGGCGCCGTCATCGAAGGTGAAGGTAGCGTCGGGGCCGTGAGGCAACTCAACTTCTCACCAGGTAGTGATCCACTTCCATCATCCCTTTGACCTGCGTTGCAGAAGGGAGCATACGGTAACTAACGTTACTGTGTGTCTGCAGCGTTACCATTCGGCTACGTGAAGGAGCGGCTGGACTTTGTGGACATGGACAAGTTCGAGTGCAAGCAGACGCTCGTGGAAGGAGGCCACATCGGGAGCAAGCTGGAGACGGCGACGTCTCATTTCAAGTTCCAGCCAGCAGCCGGTGGGGGATGTGTGTTGAAGGTTGTGACCACCTACAAGCTACTGCCCGGGGCTGAGGACGACCAGGGCGAGACGATGAAGTCCAAGGAGACGGTGACCGGAATCATCAAGGCCGCGGAAGCCTACCTGTTGGCCCACCCTGACGCCTACCTGTAGAGCTGCATGCTCTCTCTCTCTCTCTCTCTCTCTCTCTCTCTCTCTCTCAGGCTTTCGAGTTTCTTTTCTTTCAGCATCACAAGGCAGTCATGGAGAGAGTGAGTGCGTTTGGTTGTCGTATTAAACAACAATATATTGTGAACGAATAAAAGATAATGCTCTTTCTAGATACGATTGGTCTGTTCAGTGTCGCAAATTTCTCCTACAGAATTCAATGTCAGAGTCATTTGCAATCTTTATAGGTGATGAGTTCTCATGATCACTATGGACTCATTGTAGTCTACAACAAAGTGTTGATGAAACTACTAGTTCTATAGGTGACGTGCTTAATCAAGAAGAGTCAATCATGGTAAAGTGAGTAAACGAGTAGGTCGCACGAATCCTAACGTTGCGGTGGGCCAATTCTTTCTTGTGGTTTGACCAATTCTCTCCTATCCTCATATCAATCTGTCTTATTTCAGTTAATTCGTAAAAAACGGAACAAATTCTTTTGACTGAATTCCTTTCGATATATATACATCAATTCAGTAGGTGATTTTTTTGGAAAAAGCCTCCTTCTTTTTAGACTTTTTTTTTGTCAAAAGTATTTCTCTTTTCATATTTCCCGATCGATGTTTCGATTTGTAATATTTTTCGGAACACCTCTAAAATGACATCGCGACAACTTTCATCCTTTTTGATAGAGCACTCTATCGCGCGACCGATCCATAGAGTACATCAAACTAATTTTTAAGTTATAATATTTTTTAATAAAATTATAATGTTTAAAAAAGTATGATAAGAATATTATTATAAATGTTTATTATTTGGTTATCCTAAACCAAATACTTATTTCAAATTTTATTTTTATATATTATTTAGTTTCTATTGAATTTTGAATCAACTTGTCTCGGTTATAATATTTTTTAATACACTTACTGTATTTTTGAGTATGCTTACAGTGTTTTCATGGAGATATTGAAAATACTGTAAATGAAATGATAGATCTTATACATGAGAGATTCGATCGATTCACAATTAGATATTGCTTATTTTATCATAAGAATATTTTGAAGGATTATGACAAATATGAGATTCTCTGTGAGAAATATGAAAACGAGGTGTAGGAAAAACCGAAAAGAGTGACTTTTTCTGATAATTCATCAAAAAAATTGCTGAAAAGAACATGGAAATCATATGTTTATAAGCTTCATAATTTAGCTGCAAGATGAGGGTGGGATCCTTTCTATATTACTGTGATACAACCAAAAACTAGTATTCCTGCGAGTTAGGCAGCTCTTTGTTTGCATTGGGATCGACCAAAACGGTGTGAAGCCATAAGCGATTGACGAAGACCAATAGTCAAACGCTCACCTACTCCCAGCCACATGCAGTGAGCTCGAAGTCAAACTTGGCTTGACATTATAACGCAACTACTTTGAATCCTTTTTGTTCTATTAGAAGACCTTAGGTCGTCAAAAAAGCTTCTTTATTAATTAATTCCATGGATGATGATGAAGATGAAGATGGGGTTGGTTTAAGCTTTTTTCTTCTTTCAATCTCACACTTGGTCTTTGGTTGACTGTGTGACCTACCTCTCTCTCTCTCTCTCTCTCTCTCTCTCTCTCTCTGAAAACATGAGCTTCTCCGGTTCTACACTTTTGACTTTCTTGGTTGGCATTGACCCACTTCTTCTGGTAGATGAGAACAGAGTGATACTTATTTGAATTGATAAAAATTTATTTATTGATTTATCTTGATAGATTGTTAAGTCAGATTTTTATTATTCGATATAAATATCAATTCAGATTAACTCTTCTTGATTAAGCACGTCACCTATAGAACTAGTAGTTTCATCAACACTTTGTTGTAGACTACAATGAGTCCATAGTGATCATGAGACCTCATCACCTATCAAGATTGCAAATGACTCTGACATTGAATTCTGTAGGAGAAATTTGCGACACTGAACAGACCAATCGTATCTATAAAGAGCATTATTTTTTATTCGTTCACAATACATTGTTGTTTAATACGACAACCAAACGCACTCACTCTCTTCATGACTGCTTTGTGATGCTGAAAGAAAAGAAACTCGAAAGCCTGATATATATATCCGAGACAGAGAGCATGCAGCTCTACAGGTAGGCGTCAGGGTTGGCCAACAGGTAGGCTTCCGCGGCCTTGATGATTCCCGTCACCGTCTCCTTGGACTTCATCGTCTCGCCCTGGTCGTCCTCAGCCCCGGGCAGTAGCTTGTAGGTGGTCACAACCTTCAACACACATCCCCCACCGGCTGCCGGCTGGAACTTGAAATGAGTCGTCGCCGTCTCCAGCTTGCTCCCGATGTGGCCTCCTTCCACGAGCGTCTGCTTGCACTCGAACTTGTCCCTGTCCACAAAGTCCAGCCGCTCTTTCACGTAGCCGAATGGTAATGCTGCAGACACACAGTAACGTTAGTTACCGTATGCTCCCTGCTGTAACGCAGGTCAAAGGGATGATGGAAGTGGATCACTACCTGGTGAGAAGTTGAGTTGCCTCACGGCCCCGACGCTACCTTCACCTTCGATGACGGCGCCGCTCACGACGATCTCCGGCGCGATCTTGGGAGCCAAGGAGTGCCAGTCGAGGACGGCGGCCTTGAACAGGCGAGATGCCTCGACGGAGGACTCGATCTCGAGCGTCCAAGAACCGGAAGCCATGGGGGGTTTGGAGGATCGAGAAGGCTGGGCTGATGAAGCTTCTTGAGGTGGTGAGGAAGATGAGGTTTGGGGTGGGTATTTATAGGTGGAAATGGACATCATGGTAGGTGGCGGTATGGTTGCATGTCAAACTTGTACAGCGTTGTTGGTATGATCTTATTGGCTGGAATTATCTATATATTACTTTTGGGAGGTGGGAAGAAATCTTTTGACTGAATTAAGAATGAAAAGTTCTTAGATATGACAAAGTATGACACAATAGAAAATCTAGCTATGTAGATGAAATGTATGTGAAAGAGCACGCAGCACTTCACCAACCAGTTTGTTGTGCTTAGTATTTTCTATTGGGTGATGAGTATGAGATGGTCCAATATAGTAGAAAATCTAGATAGGTAACCCATTGTAATTTGTAATTTGTAATTTATATGGTCTTGAATCCGACATGGTCCAACAAATTAGAAAATAAAAATATATGTGTGACTAAACCAATAAAGCTTTTGTCAATTTTGTTTGTTTGTTTGTTTTTCTTATTCAAGTCTTTTGTTGTTGGTTTTCAATCTGTGTGAGAACAATATGTGAGGTGAGATCGATCGTCATACTTTACAATTTTGTTGTTGTTGTTATTGTTGGAATCCCACAAATTTTGACATATCAATAAAAAAAAACACAAATTAGTATGTTTTGGGGAGTCCATATCATATCCTTCGTCATCTTCTCTCAATTTCATGAAGCATTTGTTCTGATTTTTTTTGGGTATTTTTAGACGTTTGATTGGGATTCTTTTTGTTCATAATCTTTCCATAAATATATATTTTTTATATTAAGGGCTTTGAAATCTTTGATAGAGTCTTGGCTTATAAGAAAAAATAGATGATGATGGCATATTCTTATACAAGAAACAAGATAAATAAGTTTAATAATAATTATGAGAACTCATATGTTCGATGTAATACTTATGTATATCTGTATCTTTCGATTATAATCATGTTTTACATAGCATATAGAGGACTTATAATAGATTTAACAGTCCTATGTTGGTTGGCTTTTATGATTATTTCAGCCTTGTAAACATAAGTTATGTATAGTCATTGTATAAAGATAAAATTACCCAAAAATAAGTCATCTAAATAGTTATTTTGAGGGTTTTCTAACTATGTAGAATAGTATGGAGTGTTAACTAATGTAACACATACAAGTTACCTATGTGGCACATGACTGGATGAGCTTTTGGAGTAATATCTAGGGACAGTTCATTATCTTGTTCCACAATAGTATCATATGAGCACTTGTGCGGATCTTTGACCACGACAAACCATCTTGAACCATTTGTCACGTGATTATTCAAAGTTTACAAAATTTATATTTATAATTAATATTGTTTATCGGGTGTTTACTAAAATGACTACTTGTAAGATTTCGAGTTAAACACTTTCTCTAACCTCCCTTTTTTTTTAATCTTTAAGGGATTATAAGAGATTTCGAGGAGATTGACCCTTTCGGATGAGAATGCAAGGGTATCACATGACTTCAGTAAAACTAACTAAGTCTATGACAAATAAAATCAGAGCAGGATAAACACACTTAGAAATATGTGACATGCAAATATGGGGGACCTAGTGGGGTTGCGTTGAGGGTAGTCAATACGCAAGATCGTTTGAGGAATACAAGTGTAGAGACATAGGGAAATTAGTCACTTAAAGGAGCGAGCATCCAAGATTGACATTCAGAAAAATGACAAACCCTTCACGTAAGAGACACCACGAGAACAAACAAACTAAGAAGAACACGTAGCGCACAAATGATGGGATGGCTATAAAATATGTGTCGACATATTTCTCATCAAGATAGCCGAAAAGAAGATACTTCGGATCGATGTATGAGTGCTCAACCAAGGAACAAAGTAGGTAATACATGGTGCTATATCTTTTCTACTCAAACTATCGAAGATGATACGATTCCAGAGACAACCAAAACTATTGAAGACTTGCTCCAAGTCTAGATAAAATTTTACTCTTTTCGAGCAAAACTTCTTGCATTTCAAAAGTTTAATGGCAATGAGGAGGCGAATTACCGACTCAATGCAATTAGTACAAACACTTTAGGTGCTTCAGAAGTAAGAGTAAAGAGTAGACAAAAGCTAGTAATCAACTCGATACATGAAGTATAACTCTCAAGGAAGCAAGAGAACTTAAGTAACCTTTGCTTTCTCAACTTTTAAGAGAATGGATGAAACCGAGCACTATTTCTCTTATTTATCTAGCAAAGGAACTATACACATGTTTAAAGATTATTCAAAGAAACTTAGTAGAAGATAAAATATATTAAATTATAACTAATGGTGATCAGTTCTAGCGAGAGTAGATTGTCTATTTCATTTTTCAATAGAATGTCAATCGAAAGCGAAAGTGATGCAAACATATTTAAATGCAATAACTAAGTAGAAGATGAATCGATGGACAAATCTTATAGAGAAAAGACTTCAAAAATTTT